TCTGGCTTGGTGTCTTGGATGTGGCCAATATGGCCAAAGGAGTTGTTGATGTTTTCAATGCCAGTGTTGATCCAGCTGAGTATCTCAATGGATTGGAAAAGGCATTGGCTCAATTCACATCGACATCAAGAACCTCAAGCACCATCAATGACAAGAGACGGGGATCCTTCGACTGCACACTGCAAACCGCAGAAGCCGAGAGGGTCATGAAGATCATCCACGCAATCCCCGGATATGAATCGCTGGCCAATTTCAGCTGCCTCACAGAATGGGAGAAGGATCAGGTATTCTCTCATTATCGCAGGAAGAACAACATCACAGGGGATGACGCCAGCATGGGCGCTGATGCCGATGCCAAGCCAGGTGACGAGTCTTCGGCTCACCCTGGGGAGGAGGAAGCTGATGAGCCAGCAAACGATCCCACTGATGTGGTCAGGGACTCAGAGATTTCCGGGAAACAACAACTTTTGGATGCGTTGGGAAAACTCTTCACTGTCTCTGAGGATGTCAATGTGTGCTTGTATTGTGGTAGCACCAAACATGGCCATCTTGAATGTGATCATGAGAAGAGAGATGAAGTCAGAAAAGTGCTAAAGGCCGTCCGAGCGTCGCTCGAGGCTGATAGTCCCACATCTGATGACGTCGATATGGAGCCTCCTGAGCACAAGAAGGACGGTTCAGGTGCTACTGAAGGGTCGGGGCAAACAGATGAACCTACAAAACCGAGGTTTAGTGAACACCAGTGGTATGACAGCATCAGAACTATGTCTGAAGTTGGTGACCTCGATGAGTATGGTAAATTCTGCATTGAAGGGCGTGATGTTACAAAGCTGGGACCACAGAACGTTATTGACCTTAACGAAGTGATCCGAGACGCTATCGTCAGAGGAGGAGGTGACACTTGGTCAGTGCCAGACTTCATGGCAAGCTACTCTGACAACAACATCAGGAAGACCTTCTACAAACGTGTCGAGGCGCCGCAAGATGGTTTCTTGAAAATCATCCCAACCACAGGGGCCCATTTCTTCAATTGCTCCTACTTTGGCGGCGTAGAATATGCGGCCAACTACCGCTTCGAAACTGGCAACCGACTCGACACCTACGAGGACAAGGTGAGTGCCTCACTGAACAGGATCCTACGGCACAATGTGGGGAAGGTATCAGAGCAGCAGAGTCTGCCCTGTGATGACGCCGGCTGGGTGCCCATCGAGGAAGTGCTCAAATGTGAGTCCATCTGGAGGCACGATTATGCACGCTGGCCACACGTATTCCTTGCCCCAAAGGGAAGAGCAAATGATCAGAGTGCATGGAATGTCAATGAGGCGAACTTTCGCATGACATTGCTCTTCAAGATCATGTTCCACTGTGCCAGGTACGGACGTCGTGTGCGTGAACAAGTATTGGCATTTGGGATCAACAAGGATATTGATCGCCGCAGCCTGACGTGCATTGACAACAATGTCGATGCGGACACGCACATCCCTGATGAAGGTCTACTGCTCTATCCAGTGGCGGTTCGTGCTCCTACGGGGCACAAAGAAGGATCTTCAAGAGACGACGTTTCGTTGCTGTCCTCGCTGCTTTCACATCCAATCGCACCCAACACTGTTTTGTCATTACCGGTATGTTTCCACATCACCAAGAAGACCAACCTCCGAAGCATCTGGAGGCAAGGATTAATTCCAGGAGGTCTTGGAGAAGGTCATCGGATGTTCACGTTCTTCAACCCGTACGTCCCATGGGATCACAGATCATGGACCATCACGAAGAGCGTTGATACGCGTAAGGGGGACTACATATGCTTGTTCATCCCGACCGAGACCTTGATGGTGGAATATGGCGGTCGACTAACTGACTCGGGACAGATCGTTTCACCAAGGATCATCCCATTCTCAGCAATCAAAGGAGGATGGATTCAGGACCCCAAGGATCAGTACAACAAGACATGGCTCCGGTTGTTCGTCCCTTCGGGCGACGACCAGGTAGTCCGGTCTGGAACTATCAAATCAAGAACGGTAGCCACCAAGGAGTCCATCCTAAGAGTTGCAAGTCAGTGCATCGACGCCGAAGACCAACCGTTTGACGAGATTGCCATGGATGCCATGAACATCGTCAACCAATTCAAGAACAACCTCATCGAGCCTGGCGGACAAGAACAATACCTGGCCCGCATCAAGCTGATTGACTACATAGTCGAACGCAAAAGGGTGCAAACTTCAGGTTGCCGCCATTGTCCTCACTGTATCAACGAGACGCCGACAAAGCTAGCAGTGTGTCTAGTTTGCTGGACAGAACTTGAAAGTTGCGGGATTCGTCCATATCGGCTACAAGCTCCTGAAGACGATGAAGATGAGGCCACAAAGAAAGAGCTCGATGAAGAAGTTCGTCGACAAGAAGAATCGTTGTTCAAGGATACGGTCAATCAAGCACAAGAAAACGTATCCGAATCCAACGACTATGGCTTCAATCCTGACGAGGTCGACTACAATGAAGGCGATGATGAGGAAATGGATCAGGAGGAGGAAGCTCAACAGGAAGAAGACGAAATCATTGAAGAAGACGATGATGAAATGGACGTCGTACCTGATGATGAGCCTTCTACCAAACTTCCAGCATGGACTAAGAATCTTGAGAGCGGCAGCAAGGGTATGCCAGAAGACGGACTTATCAACAATGATGTCTCCGAGGCCGCGGCTCACTTGTATGACAATGCTGTCATGTCAAAGGTCATCACAATGTTCAGGCACTACTATAACCAGAGAGTCACTATGACCCCAGAGGAGTACCATGTGATGATGACGGAAACCAGGTGAGTCCGGCTGGACCTGGACGACTTCTGCCCCTACACAGGCGAGGACCCGGACGGCAACCTCAAGCGGCCGACAGAGCTGGAATTGGATGAACTCTTTCAGGAGAAAGGGAAAAGGAACTCCTGGTCAGAGGGAGAGAAGATGTACTCAGGACGACCAAGGAACATGATGATGCCTGTCATCAAGAATTTGGAGATCTATGAAAAGATGATGGAATTTCTGGTCTGCGCCGGGTACACTCCCGAATCATTGGGTTTCCTCATGCCAATGAACCGAATGCAGGCCGATGCCCAAGGGAAGCAGGAGATGCGAGTGACCATCAGCAATTTTCTCCGACGACTGCTGAAAGGAACCTTTCCAGAACACGAATCTTACACCTTCTTTCGCTCCGGGAGCCACGGCTTCCCCAACTGCATTGAACTCCCAGCTTTCTCGGTATATCTGAGTCTGAGAGAAAAGGAACAGAAAGTGGAACTACTCTTTGCAGCCCAACAATGTGGTATTCCTTTACCTCAAAACTTTATCAGCAAGATGGCTTATGCTATTCAACTGGCTGAAGCAGAGGCGCAGAGGGGAAAGACCGAGATGAAAACGAAGATGGCTCCAACTCTTGGCGACGAAGTGGTAAGTGAAGTATTCAAAGCAGTCGGACATACTGCCGCTTCCAAGTTTGCTACCGCAGACGCGAAAGCCAAATCATCAACACAACCTTCACAGAAACCTGAAGGAACTGGTTCAGCATCATCCTCATCGGCAAGCGCGCCAAAAGCTAAAGCTATGCCAAAATCCCATGAACCATCAAAGGCACCGCCTGCGAAACCCTCATCGCCGAAAGCTGCTCCGAAACGTGCGGCAGGATGGGAGAAAACTCCATCAGCACCTCAATGGAAGAAAGTCCGCCGTGAGCAGTGAGCTTATTACCTCTGTCCGTCAAAATGGTCACTGAACTATAAGATGTTTATCGTCTTTATGAACAGATGATCAGGAAAAGACCAACTGAGTGGACTCTGAGCGAGGCATTAGACTAATTCGCTTAGGTTCGAGACTTTTGATATTCCCAATCTGCACGAAATTCTGCATTGTGCACGTGAATTCGTTAGTTAGCATCGTAAATCTTTGGTAGCGAAGTGACCCATTTCTCCCGACGGGTGAGTGGCAAACTTAGCCAACGTAGAAAAGTAGATGTTAGCTAGCAATAATTCGCGTTGTACAGCTTGATGAAGCGCCGACGCATCGACAGCCATAGAGTAGGCGAACCCTGAACCATTATTCCCTTCGGGTATGTGGGGAAGGGGGAGCCGAATGGCTTGCTTTATGTACATAGGCGTAATTCGAGCAGCAGAAGGATTTAATTCAAAGTTCCCACTCTCGTGCCTATGGTTCGAAGATGCCATAGGCATGGGGGGTGCGAAGGGGAACGAGATAACACAGTAGTAACACATGCTGAGCATGTGCACATTCTTGCACGGCTCAAGCCATTTTGGCTCAAGACCCACTGCGAGGCCAAAATAACGCGCTCCGCTGCTGCATGGTTTGACAGCTCCGACTATCAGCACATAGGGAACTACAATCAAAAGGGATAATCCAGAACAAGGATCAAATTGTTCACATGTGACATGTTGTGACATGTTGTGACATGTTGTGACATGTTGTGACATGTTGTGACATGTTGTGACATGTTGTGACAAGTCCCAAAAGAATGGGTGATGGCCCACCTCAAGAGGGGATAGTGTCCCATGTGCATAGGCCACTTTTGGAAGGTGGCGAGTTTCCGTGATTGTCCATTATTTTCCATGCCGTCTTTGTAAAATTGGCCAAGACACAACAACTGATTCCAAGTTAGCACACTCAAACTGTTCACGGGCGGCTTAACATACCCAACGGTCGCGTAAAAATCTGTGATGTGGTATATAAAACGGGGATGCAATGTTTACCTGCCAGAAAGCGGGGCCAAGAATGATGCACTAGCGCAGTTGCCTGAGAAGAAAAAGGGACACCTGGTCACCTGTCTTTCCAGGCAGCGCAAAAAGGGCATATGCAGCACATCCTTCTGAAACAGGCTCTGGCCACCTCTGGCCCGTGTGCAGCTGATGATGTCTCCGTAAGTTATTAGTTCCCTTTTGATTCCTTCCAGCTTGGAGCAACCGTGATGTACAACGTCAACCCATTTGCACTCTCCCCTGTTTGGGCCTGGAAAGTTTTCGTAGGGAAATTAATGCTCCAATTGGTAGTAATGCCACCCATAAACATCCTGGGTGCATCGGCAAAAACGGCGGAGGAAAGAGTCCAAGAAAACCTCTTCGTTGTGCTCTTGTCGGCATGCTTAGGTTTTAGGATTGCATCGGAAAAATTGTGATCTGCCATGGTACAATCTTTCTTTTGGCATCCAATGTCCCAGGGGGCACCAGCCCACATCGCGGCCCCTTGGTCAGCACGTGCAATGATGGGCCAAGAGCAATTCCCACTTGCATTGTGAGCGCTAGAAATGGAGTGATTGACAGGCAAACGGGCTTGAAAAAACAACTGCAAGGCCTCCGAGCCAGCCCCGTTGGGAGTTGAACACCAAGGGGCTCAGATGAAGACGGGACCACTATTTTGAAATATGATGAAAATTTAACATTCACATTGGAGATGTTCAACTCCTGCCAGCCTGCGCTATCCCAACAACGTGGCATATGTCTCACATGTGCCTTCTTTTGACTGCACGCTCCAGTTGTCCTTTTTACTTATTTAATAACATGAAAAATTGAAAGAAACTGAAACGTGTCAGAGAGGATGGACATGTTTCAATCTCTGGGCCTTGGGGCGGTGGGTTTCAATGAGCAACGAATTCAACGAGTTCAACGACTTTTCTGCATCGGTTTCAGTTTGAGGGCATGGTTTGAGGCTGAAAAGTAATGCAAAGAAAGGTGCATGCCCCAACCTCGCAACTTCTGTTTGTCCGATACGGATTTCATTCGCAGCCAATCCTTAGACCCAAGCATGTGGGAACCAAAATCTTGACAACCTATGTGTTTCAACATGTTGGGAAAAAATGGAAAAAGTGTTCAACCCCTGGCCCTTGGTCCTTTAGCGCTCCCAAAACGCTAAGTTTTCACTTCGCCTGACGCAGACATTTCACTCGACGGTCGTGACATGTCGTGACAGTCTGCCGAGGCTCTCGGCACAAAAGTCTCACCGTGTTGGGTTTCAGCACCTGGTGACCCGTCGTCGTCGCAAAGCCTCCGGCGCAAGCAACATATTGCAGCTGGGCCAAGCGCAAAGAGTGCTTTGGGTTTTGGGTACTGTGTGTCTACTGTACCAGTAGTACCGCACAAGGCGGTGGCGGAAGTTTCAAAAATAGGAAACCTATAGGAGAGGTTGGTTGTTGTGAATCACGGATGGCAGAGCGAATCCACTGACGGACTGAAAGGTGGTTGGGGTTGTGTTTTTTGGAATGGTTACAATGGTTGCAGTGGTCACCTGGTCGGCCACCTCACCAACAACCGCTGAATGTATATTAGTGTGGTGTAGTGCAACTGTAGTTGTAGTTGTAGTTGTAGTGTATAGTGGAGCTGTAGTTGCGGTGTAGTGTAATTAGCGTGGTGTAGTTGTAGTTGCTTTTGTGGTAGTGTAATGAGTGTAGTGTAATGTAATGCAATGTAGGGTAGTAGTGTAGTGTAGTGTAGTGTAAAAAGTAGCGCGGTTGTAGTTGCAGCTGTAGTTGTAGTTTGTGTAGTGTAGTGTAGCGTAGTGTGGTGTAGTGTGGTGTGGTGTAGTTTAGTGTAATTAGTGTAGTGAAGTGTAGTGTAGTGTCGTGTAGTGAAGAGTAGTGTAGTGTCAGGTAGTGTAGTAGTAGTCGTCGTCCTCGTCCTCGTCGTCGTCGTCGTCGTAGTAGTAGTAGTAGGAGTAGGAGTAGGAGTAGTAGGAGTAGTAGGAGTAGTAGGAGTAGTAGGAGTAGTAGTAGTAGTAGGAGCAGGAGCAGGAGTAGTACTAGTACTAATAGTTGCGGTTGTAGTTGTAGTGGTAGTTGTAGTTGTAGTGTAGACCATGTAGTTGTAGTGGTAGTGTAGACATTGTAGTTAGTTGTAGTGGTAGTTGTAGTTAGTGTAGTGTAGTGTCGTGTAGTGTCGTGTATTGTAGCGTAGTGTAGTGTAGTGTGGGGTAGTGTAGTGTAGTGTAGTCTAGTGGAGTGTAGTGTAGTGGAGTGTAGTGTAGTGTAATGTAGTGTAGTTGTAGTTGTAGGTTGTAGTTGTAGTTAGTGTAACGTAGTGTAAAATGTAGTGTAGTACAGTTGAGTGTAGTGTACTTTAGTGTAGTGGAATCTAGTGGAGTGTAGCGTAGTGTAATGTAATTCGTGTAGCGTAGTGTAATGTAGCGTAGCCGTAGTTGTAGTAGTGGTTGTAATGCAGTGAGGTTGCTACAAAACCCTAACGTTTTGCTCATCCGAACATGAAGTGCTTTTTACATTTTGACTTGGAAATGTGCTTCGCGCAACAACGGCCTGCACTTTTTCGACATCTCAACTTCCAAAAGTGCTCCAAGAATGGTGTGCCTTGTGCATTTTGACTTGGAAATGTGCTTCGCGCCACAACGGCGTGCACTTTTTGACATCTCAGCTTCCAAAAGTGCTCCGAATGCAACTTTTCATCTCTCATCTGGCCAGATGGCTCCGCACCCGCCGCTTTAGCGAGCCTACTTTTCGACCCTCCGGAACCACAAATCATTGGAAAAACGCAGTGAATCGCGACTTTCCTACCTTTTCGCGCACCTGCATCCTCTTTCTCATCACTCTTTCTCTTCTCTGATCTTCTCTCTTCTGCTCTTCTCTTCTCTGACTCTTCCCACCTCTGCTTTTCCATCTCTCCATATTGTCGGAAGTTTGGCTTCTAAACTTCCTTCGATTAGTCTTAATCATAGCGCATTGGGATCTCAAAAAAAGGTACCCTGGCCCTGGAGAGAGAAACCCAAAAATTGCAAAGCACCAGGGTTGCCAAACAGGTGTGCAGCGCTTGCAAAGTTCCGAGGATTCCAAGCAAGTTTTGAGGATCCCAAAGTCCAGAGCAACAAAAACTAATGCTGTCCCTCAAGTAGGGTTTCCAAAATACACGGATCCCAAGGAAGATTTCCCAACAAACCGTTTCCAGGTTGCCGCAGCAAATTGAACAACCCCATAAGAGGTTCTACATAATTTGGGATGTAGCGAAAGCTAGGTCGACCGACGGTGATGATTTGCCAGGACTTGAACTTGGACGTGTGTGATTGCAGAAAAGGATAAACAATTGGATGGAACGGAAGAGTTGATAGAGAAGGCTTCCACGGAAGGGGCACAAATGCACACAAAGTGGCGCGGAGACCGCGGCAATCCGTTCCTATTCCGTGCCGTTTCCATACGTACCATACGTTCCATGGAAAGAAAATAGCAACGTAATCGTGAAAGAATGGAAAGAATCTTAAGAATATCACAGAAATAAAGCAAAAATATCACAGAATTCAATCAGAATATCTATTTTGCCTTGGCCCCTTTTCGAATTCAGCGCCTTCAAGCCCAAAAATACAAGGCTCCCAAATTGAACGCTTTCTCCAAAACCACAACGCTCCCATGGTCCCCTGAAACGTAGAACTTGCATGAACTTGCAACTTAAAAGTGCAATGCTCCAAAGCGCATCAATTTCTGCCTTGCTCTAATCTACCTTGGTAAGCACTTCCCTCAGCAACATTGAAGACTACAATACCGCCAAAACGAAGACCTTCCAAATCCTTCCAAACAAAATTACATCTTCCAGAATGTACCGTTTTCAGCGCCAAAAATGCAATGCTCTCAAAATGGAGTGCTGCGAGTTCCAAGAGCATAGCGCTCCCAAAAACCGTGAAATCGAACTTTCAAACTTAAAAAAGTACAACGTTCCATGTCTGCCTTCCTCGAATATTCTTTTGGCAACCCCTTACCTTAGCAACCGTCATGTGGCAACCCTTTGCTGTGGCAACCCTTTTGCCTTCTCTCCCAGCCACTAGGATCAGGGGCGAACCGGGGAATCGATGCCCCATCGCCAAATTGCCAAATTGCGAATCAGGGGCCTTCAAAAAACCCTGAATTTCCCAGATAAATCCCCATCCAATGTCGAATTTTGCAGGATTTTTTGTCAGAGCTCAGGCCAAATCCCTTAAAGAAAGTTTTGTTCGCAGTAAACAGCTTGAGCCTAACCTACCGCCGGCTTTCGTAATAAGGTCCCCCAAACAGGTTCCAAACAATTGGCACATGAAACATGAGGTTTCCAAAACATGTTTGCTTGAAGGCAAGGTGCCGGTGCCCAAGAACAATTTGAACAAGCAAACATTGGAAACCTTCAAATGCCGACATTGTTTGCGCATGTTGTAATATCCAAGAAAATGTATTTCGTGCTCACCTCGGTTTTCCAACGCTGTCACTTTGCCGGACAGTGTGTCAGAATCCCTGCGCATAATGATAGATCCTGAGCAAAACCTGTTTACCACCCAAGACTATGTTCAATTGTTGATTTTTTTCCACAGATTTCCACAGCATGGTTTCCCTATGGGATGACATAGCTATCTGATACCTTCACATTTAGCGAAGCTCAAGAACCAAGAGATCCACAAAGACCGATAAACTTCCACGTGACGGTCCAGATATGCTCACCGTTTTCAATTAAGCAGTTTGTACAGCAATGCAGCATGAAAGCAAGTTTAACCTATGTACTCGTTTTCAATCAGGCAACTTGCCAAGGTCCCAAAATGACATGTACTGTATGTATTCCTTTTCAATTAGGCAATTTGTTCGGCGAAGCTTAACTGGACTTAAGGCTTCTGGGCCTATGCTATTGAAAATGATCTCCGCAACTCGGAGTTTCTCGACGAAACTTCCTTGATGACCTGATGACAGTTACTGTAGTTACTGCAAGTTCTGTAAACTTATGTAATAAATGTAATAACTGAAAGTTACTGAAAGTTATGTAATAAGCTGCAAGTTACTGTAGTTACTGTAGTGACTGAAACTTCATGGCAGCTGCAGGGCCTTGGTTCAGCAGCACGTTGCAGAAAATTGTTTGATCGCGCAGTGATGACAGCAAACCACCTAGCGAAAGCTGTGGGTTCCCAAAATCAAAAGGAATATCGGAATATCGGTTAGAACATATTAGAACCAACTAGAAATGGCAAAGGCATGGCAAAGGAATGGCAAGGGACCAGTTGGACCAGTTGGAGATTCGGTTGGGTCTGGGATTTTGGAATCTCGCTTCGCTGCTACGCTGCTGCACACAAAGTTTTGGTCTCACAAAGTCGCCTGCGAAGGAGCCGCAAATACCACCTGGACTGGGGAAATTGCCAAGGGCCAAGGAGAAGGACAAGTCATTCATGACACGTCACTATCTATCTATATCTACATAAGTCTACATACAAGAATCTTCAAGAGTCTTCCAAATTTATAGATTGTCATGGCTGTATCAACGTACTGGAAAATGAGAAGAGGATTTGTTCGTGACACGTCATGAGGGCAAAAGACCTCGTGACTTGAAACCTGCATGTGGCATGACTAAGCAAACCCACTCGCACCCGAAGCTCGCGACGCTATAAAACCGCCACACAATGCCACACACTCACAGCAGCTAGTTGCGGCGCTGAAGTCCCGTCCCAGCTGTCCCAGCTGTCCCAGCCTCCAGACAGCACCTTCAAAGATCTTCCTTGCACCCATGCGCTCATCTTTGGATGGCACCCATCTGCCTCGAACACCGTCAAAAAGTGTTCGCACATCTCAAAACATCTGAAACTTTCAAAGGACCTGAATGCATGAAGAGATGTCAAAAGCTGGAACGCTTCGCTAATCTGAAGCGTTTGCGACGTCCAATTTCATCAACCTCGTGATAAGCATTGTGTTCATGACCTAGAAAGGTGCACTGACATATGCTGACATCATAACATCAAGTTCTTGGAAGTTGCGCGTCGTGTAAAGAAGTTGTTTGGCAGCTTCGTCCTACCTTGGCGGGCGAAGAGCTGGGAATGATCAAAGAGTTGGGAAGAAACGTCGCTAGACAATCAATATCAATATGTGCGAAGTTGTTTTGGGCAGTTTCCTATTTTTTCGCTATTGGTCTTTTCTGGTATGAGGGCTTCGTTTCTGGGAAAATCATGCTTGAAGTTGCATGTCCTTGCGCTGTCTTTGGTTGGCTGTTCAGTACCTGAATGGCGATTATGGCAGTACTGGAAATTGAAGTAGCAACAACTGGTGTGTATTCTTCTGTCGTGTTCTTATTTTGGTGTTGTTTCGTTTGGGTTTTGGTGTGTTTGTCGATGAAGATCGTGATGATCATGATGATGGTAATGATGTTCTTGCAGTGGTTTGGTTCTGTTTAGTTTTCAGATGTTGTCAGCGTAGTGTGTTTGTTGTGGATGTTGTGGATGATGTTTTACACCCCTGGCGCGCGCAGCGCCATGATGCTGCAACGCCTTGCGCATTGTACACGCGGCATCTTCGATTGGTTTAATTCACATGTGGTTTCTGTAGGGTTTCTGCAACGTTTGTCAGTCTAGAATTCGTTTGCATTTAAGGTTTGTTTGGGGCATGCTCAGGGTTCTTGAGGATATCTTTGGGGTTTGTCTGGGCGTTGTTTTGGCCGTGTTTAGGACTTGTTTGGGGTATGTTTGAAGTTCGTTTACGGTATATTTAGGGTATGTGCAGGCATGTTCAGGTTTATGCACGGTTTCGTCGGTGTTTGTTAACTGTTTTCTTGGAGTTTGAAGTTGCTCTCGAACGTTTCTGAAAGTTTTTTCAAGGTTTCTTTAGATATGTGGAGGGTCTGTTCAGGATGTGTGTTGGGGTTTAACGGTTCATGTTTGGACTTGTTTAGTTAAAAAGAAATCGCAAGAACGAACCGAAACAAAAGGCAAAAGGAAGAACATCCGAGAAGCAAAGAATCAAAAGGTTTAGAAGCAAATAGGAATCCAAATAAGAAAGAGCCGAAACGGCCCCGAAAACAAATTCTAGAAGAATTCGCCTCGGAATATGCAGGAAATTCACTGGTCCCGCCGCTGTTTGGGGCCATATGAGCCAACCAATTTTTAGTCTCACATGTCTCCCACTCTGTGCATCTGCGCTTTTGCCTTGGAATGTGAGATTTTCCACAGCATTTCCCCAGGAATCGTTTCGCCGTCTCAGGCGGTTGTTGTGCTTGCTGTGCCTTCCCAAGACAACTCCGCGTCTATGAGTTGATGTCATAAAACCCTTTGAATTTCAAATGCTTGAGCTTCGAACTGTCAGCAATTCTTTTCAAACAAGCTCTGCCCAGGATATCGTTCGTTACATAAGTATGACAGTATGGTTGATTATGGTTGACTTTGTTTTGGAAACGGCGTCTTGTGCAAAACTCCGGATACCTCCGCAGAGAGAACCTGTGGAAACAGTTTCACTATGTCTGACTGTGTCTCACTGAACATCCCACGATGCAGTCCGTGTTGCGATTCTTTGACCGTACCTTGGTGATGTAGTAAGCTGTCAATTGCCGCCGCGCTTTTCGCGGGCTCACCGAAAAAGCCTCAGTTTTCTACTGTTAGCTGAATCAGTTCCCTGAATATTTCCGAACCATTCGTTTTGATGTGTTTTGCCAAAATCCTCGTCAAAAACCTTCAACCGCCTCTTAATCGGAAACCCTCCAAGAATGAGAAAGAGACAGCCAAAGATCTGAGCCACATCAAACGCCTCTTTCGAAAGCATCGGTGTACAAACAGTGTACGAAACACAAGGCCTTGCCGGTTTTCAGGAAAAGAAATGCACAAGGGTTTTCAAATTTACTTTGAACGATCCTCGCCAACTTGCTTTTTATCCGACAAATATGCTGGGGATCTCTGACATTTCATCTGACATATGTTAACCCTTCCCCCCCTAACATTTATGATTTCGCTTCTTTAACACTCTGACTCTGAATCTGCCACTTCTTTCCACATCTTCTCATTCTTTCCCTCCCTCTTCCGGAAAATCATGGAAACTATTCTGAATTGGAAACGGGATCGTTAGTGCCCAACTTTTACCACGGCAGCGCGGTATGACTCAAGGGCCCTAAAGCCAAATGTCAACGGGGGCATGTGATCACTTGGCTATACAAAATATACATTAGACAGGTCAAACTCACACTCAACCTGTTCTTCAAGGATCACATGATGCTAGTGAAAAAGTTGGCTCTAAGGCTTCTTCTGTACACGGTAAATGCACTCCTTCAAGACGCGGATAATGAGGTCCGGGCGCATGCTCTTGGTCAGAGCATCCGAGACCATAGTCCCTGTAGCAATCCAGGTAACGATGTCTCCTCCGCCATGATGCATATCCCAAGTCCTCCGGCCGTCTTGCCAAAGTGACTCGTGAATCGACTGCAACTCAATGCCGAGTCGTTTGTCTGCGACCCTGCCAAGTACCTCATTCGCAAGATGGTCTGTTAAAGACCTGCAGTCTGAAAGCATCAGTTGTGGAATACAGCTGCGGCTGTCATCCAAGCATGTTTTCATCGAGTCAAGTTGACCCATCAGCTCGGCCAATGCTCCACGTAGCTTGTCACCGCTCTCTTGTCCAGCCTGCAGTGAATAAGCTTCGCATTGAAGAGTGCTGCGGCATACTCGCCGAATTGTATTTGATGCAAATCCCAATGGCATCACCCGATAGGATGTAGTCTTGGGGTCTTTGATCTCATTGATGTCTCCAAGAAAATGGAAACGTCCTTGTTGTGATTTGTAGTTCTTCTCGTTTGAAAATGAAGCATCTGTTACTGTAATGATGCCAACCTCTCCCCAGGTTAGATGTCCACCTGGAAAAATAAGCTTGTTCTCAATGCCTTGATGTGCCAGCTGTACCACGGCATTTGCGTCACTAACGGCTCCAGAAATACTGGACTGTAGGCGGCTCACACGATAACCCAAATCGGGTCTAGTCTGCCTTGCCACCCATGCCAATGATCCCGTTACAGATCGTAATCGGGTCACATCAGCCTTACCCAACGGCTCGGACGCTGATCTTCCCGGCGCGATCTTGATCGGCTTGATGCGACGGGTGTTGTCACAAGTGTCTTGGGTGATTGTTCCATCTGCAGTACGCTCAAATTGCTTGCCACAATAGCGAAACGAATTTGATTCACTAGATCCCAAGTTGAACTTCTCCAAGAAGCTGTCGATCACTGACTTTCCCTCAGGAATGTATGCGTACAAGATGTCATCCACATGAGTCGCCATAAGTGCAACGCAATCTTTGTCGGTTCCTGGAAGAAAATATAATCCTGGGTAAAACTTGGATTGTTTCAAGCCACTGGATCGGGCATCTCCGTCCAGTCTCAACCAAAAACCTCGACCGCTGTCAGTTAATCCGTACACAGGCACTCTCACAAGGAAAAAGACCTCTGGATCAACTCCCGGGAGACCTCCTCGGGGTTGTCTCATAATGAGAACTCTGTCAAGAGGACGACCTTGAAAATATGCGGATGCGACGTCCGCACTGTGCAAGTGTGCACCCTGGATCGCCGCCCAACAGCAAAGTATGTTGTGAGCTTCCGTGTCTGCTGTAGGACTGTCTGATCTCAAACCTTCACTGACTTCGAAATTGCCGCATGACACCAACCGGCTTTTGAACTTTGGCACATATTCTTGGTCTGTTCTTCCCTTCATAAATTGGTTCTTATCAACATCAACCCACTTGCTAGGAATACATTGATGCCCTTCAGCAATCAACCTCTCAGCATCTTCTTTTGAAATTTCAACAACAGCAGCGAACTCAAGGAACTTGTTCCACTCCTTGGTTCTGGCATCCATGATGTTCTTCTGTACATCAGGTGGCGCTGATTCATAGTGGATTGATTTCAACACTTTCTTGCCTAACTCCTCGTCCTCAGGAACTCCATCAACTTCCTGGGACAAAAATGATGCAAACAATGCTCGTGCTTCTTGTCGTTCTTCAGGACTTCGTTCTGAGTCTCTCTCACGAGCTCTTTCAAGATGTGTTCGCAACTGATCCGGCAAGTCATTCAAAAGTTCTCTTCGTAATGGCCAAGATGACGATGAAGACGGAGCTTGTAATGCTCCTGGGGCGAAGCCACTAAAAGGTGGCGCCCCCGAAACGGAGCCACTAGGAGTAAGATCAGGCACAAAGGAGTCTCTTCGAGATGGCACAAATGATGAGCCTCTCTCCGACTCAGGTTGTAGGTGAGACTCTACTCGAGGTCTCACATTGCGTTCATGATCTCCATCTCCTGGGCGTGGTCTTTCGACTCTTCTCTCTGGAGTTCTACTTTGTGAAAAGATATCTTCTTCCATAGGACCAGTGTCTTCCTCCTCCTCATCTTCTTCAAAGAAACCAGGTCGTATGTCCCATTCATCTTCAGGTACTTCTGGTATAGGAGGAAGTGCTGAATCCACATTGTCCTCAGGGACAACTTCGACATCGTCTGCTTGTCCTGGACCTTCACGAACAACTTCAACCTCATCTGCTTGCCTTGCATCAAGAAACGCTTGTTGACCTGTATCATTGATGATCTTGTATGGGATCACAGGTTCACCATTCAACACTGATTGAGCAAGAGCTTCAGAAGGAGAAGCAATGCGTATGTTGTGAGAAGCTACAAGTACTGGAACGTTACCAGATAGTAACCATATGTTCTTCTGGTTCTCGTGTCCGATCACACGGCATGTTGGTGACCAGGAAGTTCCTCCTCGTTGATTGTCTCGTCTGAAAGTGACGAGATCACCAATGTTGAACTCACGATCAAACACACTGGCGTTGCGTGTCAACGCTCTCTGAACTCTTCTTGAACAATCAAGGTGAACAAAAGCCTTTTGTGCCTCAATCCTGGCCAAGTGTTGTAATGCAAAAATTGATGAAGGATCATGTCGGGCCTGAATGGCTCCGAGCTGCGCATGATCTTCCTCTGACATGAGTGAAGCTGCACCCCGAGGAGCTCTACCAAGCACCCACTGGGATGGAGAAAAACCTCCAACACGCGCAGAGTCGTTCTTCACACCGAGCACCTGTGTGATGCACGACTCAACCTGTTCTTTGGTGCAAGCCTCAACTTCTGTACACACTCGTCTGAAAAGAGCTTTCAACAAACCACCATGCCTCTCTACTCGGCCCAATGATTCCGGGCTCTCAAGGGGCACATGGTGCACTTGAATGTTGTGTTCATCCATGTATTGTTGCAAGACACCACGATTGTGCAAACCAGGGTCACGCATGATAGCAACAGGATGTCCTGCCCAACTGAACCAACGTTTGATGAGTGCGTCCAAACAGGATCGCGAAGAAGCTTGACCTGCTCCAACCTTCACGACTTCAGCCTGTTGAAAACAAGTGCCAATGCAAACCATGTTGAGAACTTGATACTTCTGCCTAGTTACATCTGTCAACTCCAGTACATCAATCCCCAAAGTGTGGTTGAATGTATAATCACTTGGAAGCGTGACCTTGTGAGTGGGTTTCTTGGCTGATGTTTTCTCACATGTTTCACATCTATGCAATTTCACTGCATCAACAAACTCCTTGCTCACCTTTGCAGCACGCACCAAATTGACCATCACCGACTTGGGGACGTGTCCAAAAGCCCTGTGCAACCTACGCACAGCAATCCTGACACGCTGGGGAAGTTTACGCCAAGACCTACGTCTTTCTGATTCATCCTCTGGCAAACCAGGGATATCAACATCATCTAAAAGGGTCTCTTCTTGGGTCAGGTCCTCAACAGGATCCTGCAATGCAACATCTTCTGGGCCATCGACTGCATCCCAGTTCCCACCATGTTCCTGAGCCTCTTCAATGATCTCTGCTGGGAAAGCGACGCTCATCTGATCCTCCAGTTCACGCTCGAGTGACCAGTCACGAATCCATTGACAAAACTCCCAATTCAAAACGTCATCCAATTGTCGATACATAGACCAATTCTGAAAACCTTGAATGAGTTCATCATCGTTTGACACAAAAGCAAGACCAACTTCGTTGATATATGGAATCTGTGGTGTTTTGAATGATTCCCATCGTTCAGTGTGTGCGACATCAACAATGAGAAACCTACACCCTGTGGCATCACAATACTGTTCCAACTCAAATACAAGATCCCCATGACACAGTGGATAATGTTCTGACTTGTACTCAATTGCAACAATGATCAATGTGCAACCCTCGAACATGTCACTCCAACCACGTGGCTCAGCATCACCGTCCAAATACGCGGCATTCACGCCGACGTCATAGGTGTGTTCGAAAAGATCCTGGAAAAGAGCCGGGTGTGACGTGATAACTGCAACCCCTGAAGTTCCATTGGAAACTTGAGGCTGCATCCCAAGACTGGATTGCATCACACGATCATGGTTGTTGAGATTGTTGATACCTTCCAATACCATCTTTCTGTGTTTCTTGCTCATAGTCCTCCTCTCATCAGGATGGACTGTCAAATCAACGTTGGAATCAAAGCGCACGGCCATGAAACCAGTGGGAGAATACTCATAGTCATATTCATAAGAATCGGAATCATCTTGTTCCAACTTGGGCATCAAGACCTTTGGCTGG